AGGATACAATTTTAGGTGTTTAAAAGTGAATAAGTCCTAGTTGGTTTGGCTCAGTGGATAGAGCGTCAGCTCTCGGACTGAAGGGTCCTGGGCACATACCTTGGTTGCAGACTTGATCCCTGGCCCTGGTCTGGGCTCATGCAGGAGGCAACCAATCGATGTGTCTCTCTCACATCGATGTTTCTCACTGTCTTTCCCTCTCCCTTCCACACTCTCTAAAAATCAATGGAAAAATATCGTCTGGTGAGGTTTGACAACAACAACAAAAGAGTGAATAAGACAGTTTTACACTCGTGCTCAAGTATATGTTGTCACCATAAATCTCAGAAACATACCACTTGTAATTTTATTTTCTGTACATTACAAGTTAGTGTATGGTCACAGTATATTTCATAATTTCTTATTACATAACTAATTTAAAAGTGCACGGTATATTTTATTTGAAAATATAAACAGAACCTGATATGACTAATGAAAGTTTTAATGTGATTTTAGTTATTACTCTTGTCAATGCTCCCTCATATTTCTCTCCCCGCTCTCTCTGCCTTAGCAATGGTCCTTGATTCTCATGTTACTGCACTGCAGATTAGCATCAGCATCTGTAGTAGGAGGACATGCAGTGGAAAGGCTGAGGGGGAGCAACGCTGGAAGGAGGCACACCCACTGGAGAAATTGGAGAGGAAGGGAGGAAGCGGAACCAGAAATGAAGGGAGATTAACATCTCTGGCTGCAGTCCTCCCTCTTCCCTTCCTGGCCTCCCTATGCCTGGGGGCTGTCTTATTCCCCACATTCTCACATGTGTCTCCTCCATCCACATTCTCTTTCTGTTGGGATCTCTAACTAGGGCCCTTTCTCAAGCCATCAGTGGCTTGCAACCAGCAGTCTCTGTTCCTACGTGACCTGGGCAGTCGTCGTGGGAGTCGGGGTGGATTGAAGGAGACCCTATGTTTAGATTTTGGGTTACATTCAGCAAAGAAAAAGGTATATCTTGCAAGGTATTTTTGGCATTTCACATTGGAACTTAGAATTCTTTTATTTTTAGAATCATTCATTCACTTATCCATTCATTTGATAGTGTGTAGTGAACCAGGCAGTGTGCTAGGGGCTCGGATGGAAACTTGCTTTCTTTCAAGTTTCAAAGAGATCGTTTTTTAAAACTTAAGAATTGTTTTATATTTCACTCGGTTAAGTTTAGTATCTGTTTTTTGTTTCTTTTCCCCAAAAAGCTTTTGGGAAGAAAGAGGCAGCATGTTATATTGGAAAGGCTTTGGAGCCTGACATTAGAGTTTAAATCCTATTTGTGCCATTGTTGGCAATGTAACCTTCAACTTATTTTACCTTACTGAACCTGTTTTTTCTTTTTCTTTTTTAATAGGAATAATAATATTTAATGTAGTGAATGTGAGAGTGAGAGAAATTGGGACAGGTTGTCAGGATTTACATAAAATGATGACTTCTTTTAAAAAATATATATATATTTTATTGATTTTTACAGAGAGGAAGGGAAAGGGATAGAGAGTTAGAAACATCAATCAGCTGCCTCCTGCACACCCCCTACTGGGGATGTGCCTGCAACCAAGGTACATGCCCTTGACTGGAATCAAATCTGGGACCCTTCAGTCTGCAGGCCGATGCTCTATCCACTGAGCCAAACCGGTCAAGGCAAAACAGTGACTTCTTAATTGGTGAGCCAGCTGTGTCATAGTGGGATTGTGACTTATTGCAGAGACTAACTCTTGTGAGTTCAGTTTTTTTGTTTGTTTGTTTGTTTGTTTTTTGAGTTCAGTTTTAAATCCTTTTTTCCCGCAGCTTTGGTTAGTTTTCCACACTAGTTCACTTTACTCTGGGTAGTGAAGTGAGGCCCCACAATTACACTTGACCTCCAGTCGGAGAGAGGTTTTCAGAGAAATGGACGGAAATGGTGTGGCAGTTACCTCAGAAAATATGTGCCACAGGGAACACACTGAACTGTGCAGCACTGAAGAAAGACAAGGCATTGTTATCGTTAGGTGGTATGTATAGCACCTTGTGAAACGTCCCCAGATATGGCAGTTGTCTAGCAGTACAACAGACCCAATTGGTACCTTACATGGTTTTGATTTTTGTCTGGGGCAGTAGTGTAGTGATCATTAAGTCTTTTCCAGTTATTGTAACGAGTATAAAGTTTCTCTGCAATTTGTCTCATACATCCAAAACTATTTCAGTCACACCAAGTGACTGACATGATGGGCTCTTGGTGGATAGAATTCATGACTTTTTTCTTATGTTTCTTGGTATAAAGCATTTTTGTTAAATATTGCCAGTGAACTTCTGGCGGTAACATATAATCAGCTTTTCTCTGCCCTCCCCTTCTGAGATTCTAATTACCCTTTGATGTTGTCTCATAGGTGCCTGAGGCTGTCTATTCTTAAGAAGGTCTTTTTACTTTAGATTGCTCATTTCTATGGATATATTTTCAAGTTCATGGGTTCTTTCCTCATTATTTTCATTTTATTTTGAAGCACATCCTATTCTACAATTTCCATTTGGTTCTTTTTTAAAAAAGGCAGACGATTGATTCTTTTCCTCTGAGCATATTCTATATAATAAAAGCCTAATGTGCTAAGTTCAGTCACTATGATGTGCCCTGACCACCAGGGGCAAATGCTCAGGGGTAGGTTAGCATGCTGCTAGGGTCCAGCCAATTGGGACTGGGTGAGACAGGCCGGACACACCCTGGAGCCTTCCCGAAGTCCCTCCCCGGCCCCGCCCCGATCATGCCCCTGTGGGGTCCCTCAGCCTAGCCTGCACCCTCTTGCAATCTGGGACCCATCGGAGGATGTCAGAGAGCTGGTTTTGGCCCGATCCCCATAGGCCAGGCCAAGAGACCCCACTGGTGCGTGAATCCGGGCCTCTAGGCTACAATAGTTGTTTCAAGATTTTTGCCTGCTCACTTCCGCTAATTTCAATATCTCAGTAATCTCTGAGCAGATAATGAGTGACTAATCCGAGGAATCAGACACATTTTGTGGTTGTCTTGAAGATAAGGGAGGCAAAGATCAAGTTAAGTTGATAGAGACACTTAATGAGATCCGCTTCAGTTACATCCTTTAGCTTGTTTTCAGTTCCTTGTTAGAGGCGGAGAGCTCTGAGTTTACGGTGATGTCAGTTAGGTAGATTAGTTGCCATCAGATGTAAGAGTGAGAGGCCACCAGGTGTGTCCTCTTGAAGCAGAGGTAGGGTCACGGGACAAGTAGGGTAGTGGAAAACCCTTGAGCAGCGCTTCTTTAAAATGTGAATGGAAAATGGTTTTGAACTATGCAGTTACCATACGATTACCATCTCACTTGAAGGATCAAGTTGCTTGTTTCATGTAGTAGGTTGAAGGAACTATAATCAACCAGTCATTTATTCTTCTTAAGACCATGCCGCCAAAGAACTTTTTGTGTGTGTGAATAATAATACTGGTACTGGTTTCTCATATTTCTATAGTTGTTCACAGTTCATTTTATACACAATCAATTGTTTTCATCTAACTTGATCACTGAAATTAAAGTAATATTGTTAGGCTTAAAAACGTTAAGAATAGCCATAGTTTCTCAGATTTGAAAGAATATTAAGTAAATTGTAAAAAAAATTCCGACCAATAAGCAAAATTTTGAACTAACCATTTTCATTAAATTGAATATAGATCCATTCATATATACAAGTTTTAAAAATTTACTTATGAATTTAAATGTATAAAAGAGTGCATAAAACTTTTCATACAGTTCAAAGGATGATAATAAAATTAACATTCCTGTACCATTGATCCAGCTTAAGAAATTAACAGGATCTTAGAAAACCCTGTGTGTCTCTTTTCCCTCAAGAATAAATCATCTCCATGAAATTTGCTTTATAGTTTTATAAGTATTCCTATAGAATATGTTTATTTTTGCTTGTTTTTAAATTGTGTGTAAATGAAATCACACTAAATTTTCTGTGACTTCTTTTCCAAGTATTTTTTGAAATTTAGTCATGTTGATTAAAATAGCTATGGTTGCTCTAGCCGGTTTGCTCAGTGGATGGAGTGTTGGCCCACAGACGGAGGGGTCCTAGTTCGATTCTGGTCAAGGGCACATACCAGTTGCAGCCAGTCGATGTGTGTCTCTCACATTGATGTTTCTCTCTCTGTGTTTCTCTCTCTCCCTTCCACTTGCTCTAAAAATCAATGGGAAAAATACCCTCAGGTGAGGATTAACAACAAAAACAAATGTCAGTTTAGTCCCTATAATTAATAGAATAATGTCTAAATTCCTCACATAGTATTCAGTGTCTACCCTGCAAACCAGACAAAGCAGCAAAATTTACTTAGTCCTCAAGTTCCAGTTCTTTTGTTACTTCTGTGAAGTATTAAGATGCACATAAGTGTTTCACTTTCACTGATCCCTGTATTAGAAACTTAATCACATTGTAACTATGCATGTAGCATACTGTCTGTCTTTCCTGAAGACAGAACTTCTTGAAGGGAGGTACTATACTTGTTTTAAACTCCAGTGTTTGCCACCATGCCTTATATAGTATGGATTCTTGCTAAAGGAATGTTAAAAGGATAAATGAATGTGAAATAATTATTAATTTATTTGGTAGGAATTCCTGAAGTTCTCTCTGGTGACCTGAAATTTGCTTTTGCTTCTTGGACCTTTGTATTAAAATATGTATCTAGCATTGAGAGAATACACAGAATGTTTGATATGAGAATAAACTGGCCTCTTTTGCTATTTTGAATTATTTCATATATTATTTGGTCTTTAAAATAATTTTCTTGACCAAAATGTGATTCATATATAAGAAATAAAGGAAATATATAATTTTCTCATGGAAATTAAATCTATTATCAATATAGTTTGACGAAATTATTAAATATTTTGGCTTAATTCTTAACCATAACTTCAATTCTTATTGTTTAAGAAATACTATTATTTGTATTAATTTACATCACATTTCATTAAGAAAGTAATTGATGTTGCTTTTTATTTCAGCTAAACCATTTACTTCTAAAGTGAAACAGATGCGATTACATAGAGAAGACTTTGAAATATTAAAGGTGATTGGTCGAGGAGCTTTTGGAGAGGTAAGAATTTATAGAAGGTCTGCTAATTGTTTTGGAAGCTATTTTATACAGTCTGAAAAAATTTAACTGAAATATTTTTTACTCTGTTGTGATATGATTAATCAGAAAATATATTAAAGTTTGGAATGAAATACTTACATGTGGAATTTTCCCCGAAGATATTTCTACTAGTATTCTTCATGTGTCTTGTGGGTTTGAGTATGTTTCTGGACTCTGTTTTGTTGGTCGCCTTGTATCGCCTTGTGCCAATATGACTCTGTCATAAGTTATTCTACTGTGTCTTGATATCTGGTAGTGTACTCCCTCTACTCCCCTATTCTTGTCTCATATTTTTACAAGAGGCCCAGTGCACGAAATTCATGCAAGGTTAGGGTCCCTAGGCCTGGCCGGCGATCAGGGCTGATCGGGCCTTCTGGCTGCCAGTCGGGGCCTTCCTTCCAACTTCCAGCCAGGACCTCCCTTCCTCAGCTGCCTGTTGGGGCCTTTCTTTATTCCGCACCGCCCCCTGGTGGTCAGCAAATGTCATAGCGAGCGATCCGTCTCCCGGTCGAACTCCCATGGGGGCAATTTTCATATTAGGCTTTTCTATATAGAGAGAATTTTAGAATCAGTTGTTCAGTTTCTTCTTACTCTTTTAAAAATATTTTTTTTAATTGATTTTAGAGAGAGAGGAAGGGAGAAGAAGGGAGAGAGGGAGAAACATTGATTGGTTGCCTCTCATATGCACCCTGACTTTGGATGAAACCCATAACCTGGGTATGTGCTCTGACCCAAATTGAACTGGTGACTTTTTGGTGCATGGGATGATGCTCAGCCAACTGAGCCACACCTGCCAGGGCTCTACTAACTTTTTTTAAAAAAATTTTAAGACATTTTTATTGATTTCAGAGAGGAAGGGAGGGGGGGAGAGAGAGAGAAACATCAATGATGAGAGAGAATCATCGATCGGCTGCCTACTGTCTGCCCCCTACTGAGGATCGAGCCCACAATTGGGGCATGTGCCCTTGACCAGAATCGAACCCCAGACCCTTCAGTCCGCAGGCCGACACTCTATCCACAGCCAAACCAGCTAGGGCTCTACTTACTCTTAAAAACCCATACTCACACCCACACACCTGTTGGAATTTTGATTAGGGTTGCACTGAAACTAGAATGATTTTGTAGATTATTGACACCTTAACAATATTGACTCAGCCAATCTATGGTCATGGTATATTCCTTTATTTATTTAGGGTTTTATAAATTTATCTCGCTGATGTTTTGTAGTTTTCATTTGGTGGGGAGGACTTCTACATCTTTCAGCAGATTTATTTCTGGGTGTGTGATGTTCTTTGTTATTATAATTAGAATAGCAGAAATCATTGAAATGTCATATTTTTATTTTGGTCAAAATACAATATTATTTTAATTGTGATTTTTGTTTATCTTTAGAAGTTTATTGCTCAATTTCTAAATATTTAGAGTGTTTTCTAGCTATGTCTATTACTGAGTTATGATGTAATTCCAGAGAAGTCAAAGAACATAAACTGTGGATTTCACTCCTTTGAAATTTGCTGTGTGGTGTTCTATAAATATCACTTAGGGCAAATTCATTAATCTTGTTTAAGTCTTCCACATTCTTACCTTTCGTTTGCTCTGCTTGATATGTCATTTCCTGAGAAAGGATATATATATAATCTCCCAGTTTTTACTGATAATAAGTACAGAGTTATTATATCTTCCGGGTGATTAACTCTTTTATAATAATGGAATGATCCCTGTTATCTCTAGCTAGTGCTTTTGGAGTGAAAATTTTCTTAATCTGATATTAGTAGAGTGCTACTCTTTTTTTATTAATATTTGCACTAAATATCATATTCCATCCTTTTAGTTTCAGCTTTCTATAACTTTTATGGTATGTTTACTATTAAGTATTTAGTGTTACTCTTTTGTAGGTTAAGAAAGTTTTTCTTCTATTCCTATTCTGTTGAGCTTTTATTGTGCATAGGAGGTAACTTTATCAAAAGCTTTTTCTATATCTATTTTTTTTCTATTTTGATGAAATGATTCAACGTCTATATTTGGTGAATGTGCGAATTACATTAATTTTTAAACATACCAGTATTGCATTATTACACAAGTTGAATTGTTTGTGTACATCCTTTAAATATGTAGTTGGGTTTGACTTGTTATTTCATTAAGATTGTTTTGTTTATGGGTGTGGGCAAGATTAGCCTTTAATTGATCTATCTTATCATTCCTTATTTTTTGAATAATATATTTAGTTTACAAGACAATTTGGGAAGTGTTTCTGCTTTCCCAGTTTTCTATAAGAATTTGTGTAAGATTGGTTTTATTTTTTTCTTTAAATGCCTGGAAGAATTCACTAGTGAAGCCATCTACACTAGGGGTGCAATTTATTTGTAGTTGGTTGTTATTCTTTGATTGCACTAATTGTATATGTACAATTCTGTGAGTTTTGAGAAATGGATTCACCTTTATCAAGATGTAGACCATTTACATCATCCTAGGAAGCTCCCTTCCCAGTCAGTTCCCATCATTTCCATCAAGTGGCAACCACTGTTCTAAATTTTAACTGCGGGTTGGTTTTGGCTGTTTGAAAATTTCACGTAAATGGAAATTAATCCATGTACTCTTTTGTGTCCAGCTTTCACTCAGAATAATGTTTGTGCGATCCACCCTGTGATCAAATGTATTTATACTTGTTTTTTATTGCTGAGCAGTATACTGTTTTATTAATATACCATACTTTATCCGTTCTGTTGATGAATATTTGGGTTTTTCTGTTTTTGTTCTTTTTAGCTATTAGGAATAAAGCTGATATGAATATTCTTTTTTTAAATATATTTTTATTGATCCCATAGAGGAAGGGAGAGGGAGAGAGAGATAGAAACATCAATGATGAGAGAGAATCATGGATCGGCTGCCTCCTGCATGCTCCCACACTGGGGATTAAACCCGCAACCTGGGCATGTGCCCTTGACCGGAATCGAATCTGTAACCCTTCAGTCCGCAGGCCGACGCTCTATCCACTGAGGCAAACCAGCCAGGGCTACTATGAGTATTCTTATGTGCATTTTATGGAAATAGATTTTCATTTTCCTTGGATAAATACCTAGAACTGGAACTGTTGGGTTAAATGGTTGGTCATATTTCAATTTAAAAGAAACTGGCAAATCTCCAGTAGGGCTTACATTTCTACCACTTGCAACAGTATTTTCTGTTGTAATTTTAGCCATTCTAATAGGTATGTAATAGAGTTTCATAGTCTTAAGTTGCATTATTATTTGAATTTATATTATATATCAACATAATTACTCACCATTCTTATAGCTTCCTTTGTGAAGTATATATTCAAGTATTTTGCTCATTTAAAAAAATTGGGGTATTTGCTTTTTTATTATTTTGTTGTAGGAGTATTTTAAATTTTGATGGTACAATTTTTTCTCTTAGGTTTACTATTTTCTGGCGGTATTTTTTTGGGTGGGAGGAGGGGTTCCCCTTAAGAAATTCTTGTTTATACTCAGGTCACAGACATATTGACCTATTTTTTAAAATATATATTTTATTGACTTCAGAGAGGAAGGGAAGAGAGAGAGAGATAGATAAACATCAATGATGAATCATTGATCAGCTGCCTCCTGCATCCGTGCCCCAACAGGGATCGAGCCCTGACCAGGAATCGAACTGTGACCTCCCCGTATATAGGTCAACACTCAACCACTGAACCACACTGGCCTGGTGAACTAATTTTTTTTTTTTTTAAAGTTCTGTAGTTTTAGCTCTTATGTTTAGGTTGGTTATTTACTTCAGATTAATTCATGTATGACGTTGGCTATCTAGTTGTTTCAGCAACATTTGTTGAAAAGACTATTTCCTCTATTAATTTACTTCAGCATCTTTGTAAAAAAATCAGTTCACTACATTCTTATCTATTACTACTCTTTCTATTCTGTTTCATTGATCTCTTTGTCTATCCTAATGCCAGTACCACATTATCTTGAGTCCTGTAGCTTTATACTATAAAGTTGAGAGTGTGTGATGAAGTGTGAGTGTAAGTTCTCCTACTTGGTCCTTTTTCAGATTGTTTTAGGTATTCTAGGACTTTTGCATTATTGTATATGTTTTAGAATCAGGGTGTCAGTTTCTGTCAGTTTATTGGTATTGAAATTGAGTTTGCATTCAATTTATAGATCAGTTTTGGACGGTCTGACATTTTAATGTTGAACCTACTTGTTAGTCCATGAACAAGGTATTTCTTTGTTTTTTAAGGTCTTTTAAATTTTCTTAATGTTTTGTTATTTTAGTGTACAGGTCTTGTTCACATTTTGTTAAATTTATTTCTAAGTATATTATGCTTTATGCTATGGTGATATTTAAAACAATTTTATATTCAGATAGTATGTTGTTAATATGTAGATACAACACTGGTTTTTGTATCTGACTTTATTTTCTAAATTTACTATTTTAAAATAGTTCTGTGTTGTTTTGGTTGCTACTTTTTTGTTTTGCTAAGTAAGCAATCATTGAGACTAGGGGCAGTTTAGTTTCCTTTTCACTTCCAGATTTTATACCTTTTATTTTTTTATCTTATTGCACTAGTTTCAACCTCTAGTACAATGTTGAATGGGTGTCATGAGGGTAGACATCCTTACTTTATTCTTGAACTTAGGGAAAAAGGATTCAGTGTTTCACTATTATTCTGCTAATTGTAGGCATTTTCATCAGTGTCCTTTATTTGATGAAGAAATTGTCTTCTATAACCAGTTTGCTGAGAGTTAATAAAAGTATTAATGGGTGCTGAATTTCTGTCATCTGCTCTTTTTGCATCTCTTGACATCATATACATTTGCTCTTTTATTCTGTTAATATGGTGGGTTACCTTGATTGACTTTTTTCAGTAGACTTTTTTTTAAAGCAGTTGTAGGTTCATAGCAAAATTGATTAGAAAGCACAGAGTGCCCTTATAGTCCCTGCCCCTGCACATGGAAGCCTCTCTG